ATTAAAGCTGTCTCTATTATGATAACGAACTCATCTTTTTATAATAGTAATATTATAACTTTTTCTTAATTGAGTAAAAATCTGTTAATATTCAATTAAGTAAAAGAATAAGCTATAAAAGTTGCTTTTCCTATTAATTCAAAAAGTGGGAATGGAATTTTAATTGCATCTAACATTAATATTAATAAAGTAATAGTCTAAAACTCCAAATCTTATTAAGGTGGAGGATTTAGTTTTATTACGTATGGTACAAGCACTATAAATATAGAAGATTCATAATTTTCAAATTCTTAAGCATCCTTATCAAGTTCTTCCTATTCAGTAGGCGGTTGCATATATATTGATGCATACTTAGCAACATTAAGATTAATAGTAGCTAATACTATATTTGAAAAGTGTTATAGTAGAAGAGAAGGGGGAGGGCTTTATATTATACCATCATCTTAGTATAATTTTATTTCAATGAAGAGTTTATAGGTTTCTAATTGCTTTTCAATATAAAATACATTCCTATCCTATACCATATTAAATTTGGAAAATTTTAAATTAGATATTAATTTAACTGAAATATACTTTACTTCAACTTAAATAGGATTTATTGAATACTTAAAATAGTTAGAATTCCCAACAGAATTGGAGATTGATTCACTTCGAAGCAACAATCCTATAATAATGATAAAATATGGGAACATTAATATTGTGGATTGCAACTTCTATTCAATACACATATAAAGCCTAATTCAAATTGAGGATGCTAACAACGCTGTTTTAGAGAATATTCGTGTAATAAATTCTTCTTTTTTTGATGCATCTATGATAAAAATTAGCTTGAAAAATTGTAATTATGCATTTCTAATAACTAGCTCTTAGCGGAGAAATCTCACTTAGGAATTTAACTTTATTAAACATAAGCGAATTTGAAAACTATCAAAATTATTCTGAAAATTCTTGCTCTACATAAAATTATGACTTTCCTGAATCATTAATTTGCAAACCTAAAGAAAAGTTGACTTTTTCGATAAATTTAAATGAATCAGATACTTCTTAGCATAAATTATAATATCTATGCAATTTGAAGAAGATTTATGATAGAGAAAATAATAATTTTAGCTTAATTCAGATTGAAGATATAAATGAGAATCATAAAATAAAAGCGTAATTTTTCGACTTTCATTCTATCAATTGCACTAGGTGTTTAAATGGATTAATAAGTATTCTAAATATTAATTAGATTAAATAACATAATATTCTTTTTTAAAATATTAAGATTATAAATAGTTTTTGTGGATATACAGGTTGTTTATCAATAATGAGTTATTGGAATGAAAGTATTTTGAAGCCTGAAGTTTTACCTATTAATTCAAATGGCAGATAATTATAATAGCATGATTATACAAAGTTAGCATTATAATAGAATCATCAAGTAAAAATTATTGATAGTTTATTTTTAAATAATAGTGCTATATTTGGTGGATCTCTTTTCGTAATTGATACTTAAGTTATGATTCAGAATTGTAGATTTTAAAACAATTCTGCTATTGTTGGAGGTGCTATTTACTATTATTCTAAAAGTGCTACTTTGTGTATATTTGATAGTTTTATTATTGAAAATAAAGCTCAGATAGTTGGAGGATTATTTCTTAATTAATAATCTATCCAATAGACAAAGTAGTTGGATGTGATTATATTCAACAATACTTCAACAAAATTTGGTGAGGATGTTTTTGAAAGTCCCCGCTCATTAACTATTTCAACTGATGCTGGGAAAACTCTCTTAAAAAAGAAGTAAATACTGGCTAATTCAACAAAAGTCATAGAAAAAATCGAAATTCAGCCTTATAAAATTTTAGGATATGCATAAAAGGCAAATTTTCTAACATATCCATCAGGAATTTCTGTTTCATCCTATTAATACTTTGATTTAGAGAATTCTGTATTTATTCCATATAATTTGACCTTTCGTATCATTCCATTGAATATCTACCAACAACAAATGAAAAAGTTAACAGATTCTTTCTGTACTATCTCACATGATGTTCTAGATCTCACCAACAACACTATTATAACAACATTTCCAGCTACATTATCCTAATAAAAAGTAGAATTCAACTAAACATCTTAAGATTTTAATTTAGATAATCTAATTATAAATTTTCATCCTTTAATCAATGAAAATGTTGTTTTAAGATTAAAAATCAATTGTAATATGATTAAAATTCCTTAATTCGATGCCAAACCACCATATTAAATAAACAGTTTCATAACAGATTATGACTTGGTTGTAGACATAAAAACATTTAAATGTCAATTAGGAGAATACTTGAATACAACTTCTGGTAGTTGTTCTTATTGTGATCCATAGCTTTCATAATATTCTGTATAAATCAATGCTTAAAAATGCAATTATATAGATGATTAAAAGATGGAATCTATTAAAAGCTCTATGATTGAGCTGAAATAAGAATATTGGAGAGCATATTACTACAGTGATCAAATTGAGCAGTGTTATCATGAAGGGAAAAATTGCAGAGGTGGATGGTAATCTGGAGATTAATCTTGTTCTTAAGGTCATATTGGGGCCTTATGTGAGTAATGTGATTTATATAATATAAGAGGTGATGGATCCTATTCAGTAAGCTCTGCTTATCAATGTGGAAATTGCGATCAAATAGTTGATAATGTGTTAACTATTAGTCTAATTAGCATTTGGACTCTTATTTCTATTCTAATATCTGTATTGGGTAATATCAGAAGCATTGAAGAATTGATCTTAGGGATAAGACTGAAATCTTTTAAAAATAATTATTTGAATACTAAAGTTTCATCAGCAATTTAAATAAAAGTTTTTACAAACTATTTTTAAATAATATCTACTATTGCAACTTTTTAGCTTTAAGTTCCTACTGCTCTGACATCAGTGGTTTAAAACATTGGCAATCCTGTTGATTCTATGGCTTATTCATTTGATTGTTTTTTAATTAATCTATCTGATATTTTAATAATATATTTTAGAATTATCTGGAGTTTAGTTACTGCAGCATCATTTTTAGGAGTTTTTTTCTTTTTTGGATGCTTAGCTATATTGATCAAAATTGTAAGATATAGATTTTCATTTATTTCAACTCCACTTTTGTATATTTTCTTATACATGCAACCAAATTTAGTTGGAGGTTTAATTTCTTTGCTCTCTTATAGAAGAATTTGTAATGATCTTTGGATATAAGGAAATGTTGCTTATAGATATGATACAAAAAATCATCTTTTCTGGGTTCTTATATTTTGCTTACCTTTGATAATTATATTTGCTTTATTTTTTCCAGTTTATTTTTTTTACAAACTCAAAATTAATAAAACTTGTTTAGATAAATCTCATATCAGATAAATTTGGGGATATCTTTATAATGAGTACAAATAAAAGGCATATTTTTGGGAAATTGTTAAAATTTTGTAAAAAGAATTAATAATAGTAGTATTAGCATACTATGAAGATCATATACCTATTAAAGCATCATTAGTTTTTTTAAGTTTGTCAGGCTACATTTTTTTGGCTCACTCTCTTTAACCCTATTATACAGGAAAAATGAATTAATTAGATAGAGAAGCAATTATTATCTGTGCTGTCTCTATTATTTTAGCTAGTTAAATATTTTTAGCTCAAGAATCAAATTTAGTTGAAATAATTTGGCCATGTTATTTCATTATTGGTATGATAAATACATTTTTTATCTTTAAAATTTTTGTTTAAATATTATTTGCTTATTTTAATAGGCTGAACGATTAAATTGACAAACTCATAGAACTTATTATAAAAAAATTTCCTAATTTGGTTTAATCAAATTTCAACTAAAATTTATTTAAAAGTAAAAAATAGCAAAAGGCTAGAATCAAAGAAAGATTTGCAAAAATTAAAGATTATTTAATTCCATAGGCAAGGCTTATAATTCAATGTAGAAGGTATTTATTATTATAAATTCCTATTAGAACCAATAGATTTGAATTACCAATTCGAACTAGGATTGACTCATCTCATATCTAAAATTTATATTCAACAACTTAAAAATTAAGTCCAGCGAAAAATACTTAAAATTAATAATCTTATTTATTAGATTAATTAGATGATTAAAAAAACTCTTTCTTTTAATTAATCTCATAAATACAAGGTTCGCCTGATATATTCAGATCCACTCCAAAAGAAAGTAGCAAAATAATCACCTTATCAAAAAATTGAGTTATTTATTATTATAAGGTATTAATCCAAATATCGTTAAAGAGGTTGTATTATTTAAATATTATTATCGCCCTTTCTTTCTTAGGTTTATTTGAATAATCTATAATTTATTTTGAATTTACCATCATTAAACTTTTTATAGGCATTTCAAAATTATATTATTATATAAACACTTCAAATGACAAGTTTTTCTAGATGGTAATTAAAACTGCATTTTCCTTCTCAATTTATAGTTAAAAATCTAACTCCCCTCAAAATAATGATTATAAATATGAGGAAAATTATCATGCTTGATCTGTAGTATTCATTGTAAAGTGGCTTCGAGCATTGTATTCTAAACTGTCGAATATTGGTTCACTTGTTACATACCCATTATAAAACAAATTTTTACATCCTCATAAATTATAGTTTATTTTTGTAGGTTTCTTAAGATTGTTCTTTCTTTATGTTAATTTATGATGGCTAGGCAAAAGCATAACAATCAAATTATTTAAGAATTGGGAGAGTGCGTAAGGAAAATATAGGACATTTGAAATAATTTTCAACCTTATTAAATTGATAATAAATAAATTACTTGAATTATTTCAACAAATGAAGTACTCAAATAATTTAATTATAATCAAAAGGTTATTTATTTACCAAAATGATTCAAAGTAGATTTATCTTTGGTTAAGTTATTCAAAATACTTACTACTTCTTTAACATCCAAAAAATGAGTATTTAAAGAACCAATTATAAGTAATAAATATAAAATAAAGTTAATAAAATATTAATGTATTTAAAATCTGTTATGAACAATACAAAGTTGAGTAACTATCTGGTTGATGGAACAGGCAGGGACACTTATGTGAGTAATTTCAATGGTGGATTTTGGAAATCAAATTAAATGTAAGCTGTCCGTCCAGAGAGTGGTTCATACCCTAATCGGAGATATCAAGCATCACCTGCTCCTTGCATAGATTCAAAGATTAACAGATATAGAAATAATGGAAGTGGAAGAGATGGATATATTAGGTATAAGGTCAACTATTTGAAGCTATGATGAGGGAGGATTTTCAGTTTCAATAGGAATGAAAAAGAATTTCATTTCGAATTTAAGAGGTTATGATACTAAAATAAGATGTAATACCCGTGATAGTTCTACTATGTTATAATCATTTTCAAAAACATAATCAATTACAAAAAGGCTTTATTACTCAAAATAAGTAGAGGATCCATATTTGTAGATTAGAAAATTAACTAGCTTACACTATAAAAAATGACTATTTATACAATTTAGAGAAATAATTAAATAAAGATGTTTCTATCAATTGAAAACAATCTAATTCAGTTCTTTAAGTATCTGCTCCAATTATCCAATACAAGGAAAACTAATATGGGCCAAAAATTCTGAAGAAGAAATGGAAGAATAATAAAAGGGTGTGTTGTAGGCAGAATTACCTGATTTATTTAAATTAGTGATCAGAGTTATACCTAAGAAGTGATAAATATAAAGAATTCAGAAAAGTTATAATTAAAATTGTAACAAAAATCACAAACTTAGAATAAAAATTCTTGTTATTCCATTAACAATGGACGTATTAATTTAGGAATGCAAAAGAATAGGTTTGGCAACAAAATTGTTGCATATCAAAACAATGCCCATTTTATTTGTAACCAATGTTTTAAAAGGTGTTTAGAAAATATTTAAACAATTGGTAAGCTAAATATCCCAGGGATTCCATGAATTTGTTTTGTGTTGTATCCATGAAGGAAAATCAGAGGATTAAATTTTTAATGTTGCTCAGTTACATTATTCTGGATTTCCTTGGCGATATAAAAGTTCCTTGGAGCAGTCGTCTTAATATTTTTAGATTTTAAGAGAAGTTTTAGAGAAACAAGAAGAATGAAATTTATATATATAAAATAATCAACCTTTTTAATTCGCAATTTTTTTTCTATCTTAAGATTAATGAAATTAGTCTCAATGAACATAAATTAAACTTGAGAATATCATTTTTATTAATCATAATTTATGATTACTTAAGTTAATAATTCCAGAACTTTAGTTTATGTAATCTGAAAAATCAACATTTTTAGCCAAAATACTTATACTTGATAAAAGACTTACGCGAAATTTATTAATGAATTGAAAGTAAATTAATATTATTAATTTTTGTTAGAATTTAGCATGTTAAAGTTCTATATAAGACCCTAATAGTATAATTGGGCCATTCATAAAAAAAAAATGAACTTTGAAGTTCAGAGATGCAATTAACAATGGACTTGAACTAAGGCTATTCCATCAAAAATTTGAAATATGCATTTTAAGAATGTTAAAAATTACAAATATGAGGAAGCTTTAACAATAGATTGCCTCGCTGAGATTAAATTGTACTCGTTCAAGACTTTTGTAAGCCCAAAACTTTAATATCCAGATGAGTTTATTAATCCTGATTTAGCAATTTTCACTTATTAGTATCAGAAGTTCTAGAGAGACATATGACTCTTGTTGTACTTCATTTATAACTGGTTATATAATCATAAATCTTAAAGTTACCGTGACAACCTATTATTAAATCTATATCTATTTTCCTTCTACTTTGAGAGAGTCTAATATTAATGTGCTTTGGTTAACCTCTCATTTCTAATGTCAGTTGTAAATCTCAAGATTCCAAACTTACAAACTAAATTTATAAAAGAGGACATAGATGGGAGTATTTACTGATTCAACTGGATGTGAACCTTTTCAGATGTAAGCTTCTCTAAAGAAATAAAATTCTTGTAAGAAACATACAGAAATACTGCCACTTTTTCATTATGTGCTGCTGACTTTGTTAGAGCACACTGATCGTCAATATCTGATCCATCGTGTAGTATATCTACCACATAGCCTTCGTACTAATTTATTTTTATGCTATAGAATAGAAATGCAAAATCTGTTTAACTTCTAAGCTAACTAGAATTTTTTATGATTCACCAATATGCTTAATCAAATGTTCTAAATTTCAAATGTAAATTGAATAATGTTTATATTATTATAATTCATATATACTTTGTAACACTAGCTATTATTCTATTAATAATAGAATTTTCTTGAAGCTGATAGTTGGGCCTATTTAGTGCTATTGCTATTAATTAATCGTAATAATCCGACCTTCGGAAATAAATTGACGCATTATTTATTTTTCCAATTTTTAGAAGCTTATTTTCATTCAAGTTTGCATATTGCATTTGGTGCATGAATTACACACAACCAAACACTAATGCATGGGAGAAATATGCAAAGTTTTTTGAATGTTGTGTAGTAAACTTTGATTCACTGTTTTGATTAAAAATTATTAGCATCTATTTCTTGTTAACGAAATATGATGTAATTTTCTACTTGGTTATTGCTTCGCTTTTTTTTCAGCACAATTCCAAACATTGAACTGTTTAAATCATGTGGTTATTTTGCTAATTATTGTTGATAGCACTGCTGCAATAATTATAAAAGGCTTCATCTTACTACACAAATAGGTGTTCTGTTAATTCACATAGAAACAAATCCTTGTTTAAATTTTACTAACAATTTGTTAATCAGGTTTTAGATAGTGATAGATTATTCATTTCTATATTATGATATGCAAATCAGTTCTTTAAAGAGTTATTATGACACTATTGTGATTCATACACCCATTCTATGCACACAGACAAAAATTCTTATAGTAAATATGAAACAAATATTATCTGAAGTTTCAAAAGTAAAGCAAAATTTTCTTATAACTAGATGTTCTGCATGTAATATTAATGAATACATTTATCGATTAACAAATAAACATGCAATGTGCTTGAACAATTACTAAAAAGTTATGATTGAAATTTATATTAAAATTGATCCATAATTATCTTAAAGTCCTTTTTCCTGAACTATTTTGCATGCCTTTTAAATATAATTAATAAGGTTATGGGTCTCGAAAGCTGCTTATTATTGACTGAATAAAAGAAGAGCTCTCACATTTCTAATATTGATGTTTGGTGTAGAGTTAACGAGTTATTGCATCACATTCATAGATTCTAATTCAAGTTGCACTATATATATATATTGAAGTTACTTGTTTGAAATACTTTTAGATGTACCCAACGCTTAAGGGATTTTTCACTTTGTAAGATCAATTAGAACTTGTAGACTATTTTTCGTTGCTTACTTCATTTCTCTCCTGATGTAACCTTTTATTTTGCTATATGCGACACTAAATTTCCTATAACAGACAAATATAATCTAATAGCGAATTACTGGATGATTATGTTGGTTGCTCAGAAATGGTATTCATTTTTATCATTTGTTCAAACCCTTGTGCAATATAATTGCTCTACTTATTATAAACAATTTTATTCAAATCGATATACATATCCCAACTTTTAGACTCTATGTATACTTTTTATTTTGCAGCTAGCCATCCACTGTTTTCTCCAACCATTGTAATGTTTGTTCTAATGTAGGGATTTAGAATGATGGAGACACAACCTTAGTATTCGTAAAAATGCCTCAAATATATTGCTAAGATAACAAATGCTATTTTAAATTCATTCCAGTTGCATTACATTATTAGCATCTGATACTAGCTCGGAGTAAGTTAGCTGATAGCAAAAATGTTAGTCCAATTTTATATATGAATGGGTTTCTTCCTCCTAATTTGTATCACAGCATGTAAAAGAGATACTTAATTTGCTCAGATTAAATGAGTCACGTTGATGTCTAACTGTCATTAAATATATAATGGATATTTTAAAAGTCATTACTACAATTCAGCATTTTACCAACTCTCAGATATTTATCTGGGTTTAATGATAACATTTGTTTCCGCTAGCAATTAATTTATCATTTATAACTCTGATTTGTATAAGCTCTCCTGAAGAGATACGTGACACTTGATGAACTTCATTTATTACTGCCAATATGTTATGGGAGATATATTGAATACGAATCGTTCGATATTGTAATCATATAAACTTTTCAGCTGTTTACATTCCTTTTACCCTAAAGTAGTAAAATTTTATTTTAAGAAGTATTTAGAATGTTGCGAAAAATACTTTATGGATTGGTGACTATGTTCATAGATTTCTCCTGTAGCAAAAAAATTTACAACAACCACTTTCAGACTAATGTATTTATTGCTATGGTTGGTTCTATTTAAATTTAGCATCATCATCGATTGCTTAACTGCAGTTAATTTTTGTTTATTTCATGAAATAATTCCTATCTAATTTCTTAACTTGTTTTAGATGCAGAGTCAGTTTTCAATGAAGTATGTGTATCATTCCTTTGAAAACAGTTCTAATTAAAAATTAAGTTTATAAATAAAGCACATATTTTTGAAGTTGTTATGCTTATTTCAATAATTACAATCTTGTTGTAGTGCTCATTCATTATTTCTCAATCTTGTTTCGCTGAAGTTTCATTAACCGAATGACAACCTTGCTGACATACTGATATAAATGCAAGTTTGAGTAACTTCTAACTTTAACTCGAATATTTATGATAATTAAAATCAGCCATTGGCTTGTGCAAAACACTCGTAATTAATATGGGTTTGGTTTTTACTGTCCCTTCGTAAACAGCCATCCTAACCAGCACTAGTAATATGGTCGGCCCAGAGGAAGAGTAACCTGGTACGTACTATTGTGGGTGGGGCTCAGTCAATAAGGTGTGAAAAAAATTTAAATTTACAAGATTGTCATTTAATTACTATTAAAACTTCTAAATAATTAATTTCATAAAATTAGATGATTGAATTTGGTATTCTGATTCTGAAAAGATTTGCATCAAACTTACCTGTAAAAAGTAAATCAGACAATTTAGAAACTTAGCTCAAAGGAATATAAAAAGATGCAATTATTTGCTTGAAATGTATACTTTTGAAAAATATGAAGGTTATGATTGAAACAAAAAAAACAAATTATTAAAATTATAATTAATATTTTAATTGAATATTTCAAATTCACTTTTGCATTAAATCTTCTAAAAAGCAACTTCCTTTTGATTTATACAAAGATTTTAAATCTATTCCTTAATGACTTATGAATTGTCCTTATAAGATTTAAGTTCCTGATGCTTAAAATAAAGGATTCTAACATATTCTTAAAATTGTACAATAAGGATTGGCTATATATAAATGTATAATAAATACCATTAGGCAATAAGGAACTATTCTGAAGTGGTATTCTAAACTTGGCAAGCAGATCTTAGTAGCCTTCATCAGATTGGAGCATTTCCTTAGATGTCTTTACATCCCATAAACAGATAGAGTTATCATTACTACCAGATGCTAATGTAGTACTATCAGGAGAGAAATTGACAGAACAAACTGAATCTGAATGACCCTCTAATTTGGCTTTTTATTATCCTGTCTTAACATCCCATAAACGGATAGAGTTATCTGCAATACCAGATGCTAATGTAGTACCATCAGGAGAGAAATTGACTGACATTACATAACGCGAATGACCATATAATTCGGCTTTTTATTATCCTGTCTTAACATCCCATAAACGGATAGACTTATCCCAACTACCAGATGCTAATGTAGTACCATCAGGAGAGAAATTGACTGATCTTACATAATGCGAATGACCATCTAATTTGGCTTTTTATTATCCTGTCTTAACATCCCATAAACGGATAGAGTTATCTCCACTACCAGATGCTAATGTAGTACCATCAGGAGAGAAATTGACTGATAAAACTGTTGATGAATGACCATCTAATTTGGCTTTTTATTATCCTGTCTTAACATCCCATAAACGGATAGAGATATCTCTGCTACCAGATGCTAATGTAGTACCATCAGGAGAGAAATTGACTGAAAAAACTAAATCTTCATGACCATCTAATTTGGCTTTTTATTATCCTGTCTTAACATCCCATAAACGGATAGAGTTATCCCAACTACCAGATGCTAATGTAGTACCATCAGGAGAGAAATTGACTGACATTACATAACGCGAATGACCATATAATTCGGCTTTTTAATTATCCTGTCTTAACATCCCATAAACGGATAGAGTTATCCCAACTACCAGATGCTAATGTCGTACTATACAGGAGATAGCCCCACTGAAGAAACAGATTCTTGAATGACCAATTAATTTACATAATTACTTTCCAGTTTTGAGATTCCATAAATTTACAAATTGTCCACTGCTAATAGCTAATGTATTATTATTGGGTGAGAAACAAATTGATTTAATCTCACCCTTTCCTCTGATTAGGGTTTGGGTTTGGGGATAGGGTTGGGATTGGGTATGGGTTTG